AATTCACGTTGTTTGGCTCCACTTTCCGTCTGTCTTTCTTTTGTTTTTTCCGCCGCCACGGGAAAACTTTAGAGTTACCCCTTGGTAAAGTTACTAAAAATAATCGCCAAACCGTATACCTGAAATGGGTCGAATTTGTGGTACGTAAAATAATCAATGCAAAACATAATACAAACTGGCCGGGCGCGGAGGCTCACGCCTGTCATCCTAGCTCTCTGGGAGGCCGAGGAGGGAGGATCGCTGGAGGTCAGGAGTTCGAAACCAGCCTGAGCAAGAGCGAGACCCCGTCTCTACTATAAATAGAAAGAAATTAATTGGCCAACTGATATATATATAAAAAATTAGCCGGGCGTGGAGGCGCATGGCTGTAGCTGCAGCTACTCGGGAGGGAGGCCGAGGCGGGAGGCTCGATCGAGGCCGGGAGGTGGAGGCCAGCCTGAGCAAGAGCGAGACCCCGTCTCTACTATAAATAGAAAGAAATTAATTGGCCAACTGATATATATATAAAAAATTAGCCGGGCGTGGTGGCGCATGCCTGTAGTCCCAGCTACTCGGGAGGCTGAGGCAGGAGGATCGCTTGAGCCCAGGAGTTGGAGGCTGCTGTGAGCGAGGCTGACGCCACGGCACTCACTCTAGCCTGGACAACAAAGCGAGACTCTGTCTCAAAAAAAAAAAAAAAATATATATATATATAATACAAACTACAAAATACAAAATACATGAATCCAAAATATACAACCATACAAAATACCTAATACAAAAGCACAAAAAAATGCAAAAATACAAAATACATAATAGAAAACACGAAAAATAATCCCATGCAAAACTGCTTGGCAGTTCTTTGATAAGTGAAACACAGAGTTACCATAGGATCGTGCTATTCCACATTGGGGCATATACACCCCAAAATTGAAAACAGGATTCTGACTGAGTGTGCTGGCTCGCGATGGTCATCCAGGCACTCTGGGAGGCCGAGGCCGGAGGATCGCTGGAGGCCAGGAGTTCGAGGCCAGCCTGAGCAAGAGCGAGACCCCGTCTCTACTAAAAAAAAATACAAAAAAAAATTAGGTGGACAACTAAAAATACATGGAGAAAAAGTTAGCCGGGCATGGTGGCGCATGCCTGTAGTCCCAGCTACTCGGGAGGGAGGCTGAGGCAGGAGGATCGCTGGAGGCCTGGAGTCGGAGGCTGCTGTGAGCGAGGCTGAGGCCACGGCACTCACTCTAGCCCGGGCGACAGAGCGAGACTCTGTCTCAAGAAAAAAAAAAAAAAAAGAGAGAGAGAAAGCTTCAAGTCATTATTTTTTAATATTTTTTTCAGACAGTCTTGCCTCCAACTCATGGCCTCCAGCGATCCTCCTGCCTCAGCCTCCCTCCCGAGTAGCTGGGACTACAGGCGTGCGCCTCCACGCCCGGCTCATTTTTTCTATATATATTTTTAGTTGTCCAGCTAATTTCTTTCTATTTTTAGTAGAGACGAGGTCTCGCTCTTGCTCAGTCTGGCCTCCAACTCCTGACCTCGAGTGAGCCTCCCTCCTCGGCCTCCCAGAGTGCTGGGATGACAGGCGTGAGCCTCCGCGCCCGGCCAACATTTATTTCTCGCACATGAGAAGCCTGACGTGGTGAGTGTGGCCTAACTAACTTCCCTCAAGTGAGGCCTGGCTCAGAATCCGCCTACTATGTGCTTGTGTGGTCTCCACCTGTGGACTTCCGGTCGCCATGACAGGAAGGAGGGAGAGGTTAGGGAGGCGCCCCTGCTGCCAGGGCCTCAGCCCGGAAGTGACGCAGTGCTGCTCACAGCCTATTGGCTGGGACCAGTCATGTGACTCCAGGCCAGCCAATGAGGACGCTGAAAACCCTAGGGGAGGACATGGCGTCTCCCTGGTGGTATCCCAGGCTGAGCAACCGGAAATGCGTGAAAGAATGCCGGAAGTGGACATTTAGGGAGGATAAAGGCCAGTCCGTATGAATTTTTGTTTTATTGTTGTTGTTGATATTTTTTTTAAAATAATTTTGTTTTATTTATTTTTATTTCTTTTCTTTTTCTTGCCATCATCATGAGTTGTATAAAAAATAATTTTAAATTTCTTTTACTTTTTATATTTTTTATTTCTTTTTTCTTTCTTTTATCACCTCTCCGTAAGATGCCTGATGTCTGTTTTTGATGTTCTTTTTCCTAGTCCTTGTATCTTTTTATTTTTTATTTATTTTATTGTTTTATTTATTTTTATTGTATTTTTTAATTTTCATTTTATTTATTTTATTTTTATTTATTTTATTTATTTTTGTATTGATTTCATTGTTTGATTTCAGCATATTATTGGGGTACAAATGTAAAAGTTGCGTATATTGCCCATGGCCCCCTCCCCGTCCCACCCGCTGTTTTGTTTGTTTTTTTTAATTAATTAATGAATTTTTATTTTTTATTTTTTTATTTCGGTATATTATGGGGGTACAGATTTTAAGGTTTCAATAAATGCCCTTTTCCCCCCACCCCCTTATTTGTTTTTATTAATTTATTTTTTATTGGGGACAGAAGCGAGGAAGGAACAAGTGGATTGTAAAGGTTCAATTTTAAATCTGTTCTTGTCGTGGAGCAGTAGAGCTAAAAATGCGGTCGATCAAGAATCTGCTTGGGCGCGGTTGCTCAGGCCTGTCGCCCCAGCACTCTGGGAGGCCGAGGCAGGAGGATCGCTCGAGGTCAGGAGTTGGAGGCCAGCCTGAGCAAGAGCAAGACCCCGTAAAAAAAAAAAAAAAAATAGAAAGAAATTAATTGGCCAAATAAATAAATATATATAGAAAAAACGAGCCGGGCGTGGAGGCGCATGCCTGTAGTCCCAGCTACTCAGGAGGGAGGCCGAGGCAGGAGGATCGCTGGAGGCCAGGAGTTGGAGGCTGCTGTGAGCGAGGCTGACCCGGGCGACAGAGCCAGACTCTGTCTCAAAAAAAAACCCCCAAAAAACAACAAAAAAAACCCACAAAAGAATCTCCTTGGTGTCATTCACGGCTCTATGAGCTGTGCACATATATCATTCTATCTCATTTAAACTTAGAACAAAACCCTAAGGCGTTTGTACATATTTATTGTGCCCATTTTACAGATGGCAATACTGAGGCTCAATCTGTTTTTTGTTGTTGTTGTTGTTGTTGTTGTTGTTGTTGTTTGTTTGGGTTTTTTTGTATTATTTTTTTCTTCTTTTCTTTTATCCTCACATGTATCGATCTGTTTTTATCACTACTCCAGGCATTGTTCCTTCTTCTACTTCTTCTTTTTTTTTTTTTTTTTAATAAACTTTTTTTTTTTGAGACACAGTCTCCACTTTGTCCCCGGCTAGAGTGAAGTGCGCGTGGCATCAGCCCTCACGCTCACCAGCAGCCTCTGACTCGTGGCCTCCAGCGACTCCCGCTCCCCAACGAGTACTGGACGCGACACACATACAACGCCCGACTCACACATTTCCTTATTCTTTCATATTTTATAGACGGGTCTCGACAATATGCTACAGGCCAGGCATCCAACAACAATACCTAGACATCGAGTAATCCTCCCCTGGGCTCCAGAGTGCCGGGACACAGGCGTGACCCCCCCGCGCCCGCCTTAAAGCTTACTTTTTAGTGAACTTTACTTTTTAGACAACTTTATAAGCTAACACTAAACTTTTACTATTTAGTAAAGTTTATAAGCCAACACCTTTTTTTAAGCTAACACTAAAGTTTACATTTTTATAAATATTTATTTTGTAATATAAGACAGACATTATTTTTTATTTATTTGTTTATGGTTTTTTTATTTCAGCATATTATGGGGGTACAGGTTTTAAGGTTTTAATAAATGCCCTTTCCCCCCCCCCCTTGTCCTCTGTTTCTTCTTCTGAACATGACAAGATGCTGGCTTGTCGTCTGTCCAACGCTCAGTCCCTGTCGAAGGGCTCGGGGGCATTTAATTCGGAGTCAGATCATGGAAAACCCAAGTCTCTCTCTCTCCCCCACTTCCTGCCTCCCTCGAACCATGAGCTCCCCGGGGAGAGAAGCTTGAGTCTTCTTTTTCTTGTTTTTTTTTTTTTTAATTTTTCTATTTATATAAAAAAAAATTGTATACAAAGTTTTATGGGGCCGGGCGCGGAGGCTCACGCCTGTCATCCCAGCACTCTGGGAGGCCGAGGAGGGAGGCTCGCTCGAGGCCAGGAGTTGGAGGCCAGCCTGAGCAAGAGCGAGACCCCGTCTCTACTAAAAATAGAAAGAAATTAATTGGAAACTAAAAATATATAGAAAAATGAGCCGGGCGTGGTGGCGCATGCCTGTAGTCCCAGCTACTCAGGAGGGAGGCCGAGGCGGGAGGATCATGCGAGGTCAGGAGTTGGAGGCCGGCCTGAGCAAGAGCGAGACCCAGTCTCTACTAAAAAATATAGAAAGAAATGAGCTGGAGAACTAAAAATATATAGAAAAAATGAGCCGGGCGTGGTGGCGCATGCCTGTCGTCCCAGCTACTCGGGAGGGAGGCTGAGGACGGAGGATCATGCGAGGTCAGGAGTTCGAGGCCAGCCTGAGCAAGAGGCAGACCCCGTCTCTACTAAAAAATATAGAAATTAGTTGGCCAACTAAAAACATAGAAAAAATGAGCCGGGCGTGGTGGCGCATGCCTGTAGTCCCAGCTCCTCGGGAGGGAGGCTGAGGCAGGAGGATCGCTCGAGGCCAAGAGTTCGAGGCCAGCCTGAGCAAGAGCAAGACCCCATGTCTACTATTAAAAAAATAGAAATAAATGAGCTGGACAACTAAAAATATATAGGAAAAAAACGAGCCGGGCATGGTGGCGCATGCCTGTAGTCCCAGCTCCTCGGGAGGGAGGCTGAGGCAGGAGGCTCGCTTGAGCCCAGGAATTTGTGGCTGCCTGTGAGCCTGGCTGAATGAGCCTCTGTCTCAAAAATAATAAATTATCCGTCTTCATGCAGAAGAGGAGGCCCAGGCCCGCCGTGACGGAATTGCAAACACAGAGCTCCATGGTTATCCAGAAATGAGGTTTTATTAGCATAGGGATGACATCACTGACAAGGGGGCGGGGCCTAGATTATCACATACAAGCCACAGGCTTCCCCAGGCAGGACACAGGGCTTGGGGGTCCTCGCTCCGCCCTCCCACAAAAGCATTCCCCACCAATCACGAGAGATCCCGGGTGTTTATTGACAACCCTGCCTCATGGTGCCACGGTGGATGCCGGGATCCGGACATCGCGGCTTACATCCCACCCCGCCGTAACTCTGTCTCTGAGTGGCCGATCTGCGCAGGGCCACCGTTCCCAGGTTGGGGGGGTCCCTTAGAAGCCACAAAGGGACTGTCATAGCCAGGGGACAGGGACTTTGTTGTCTGGCCTCTCTCCCTTCTCGCAAGGGGCAATGGCCTTCCAACTTGGAGGCTGGCTAAATTAGGAAGGGGGCCAGGGCTGGGGGCGCTTGGGGCATGTGTCTACACAGGCAGGGGCCAGCTTTTTGCCCAGGGCCCTAAGGGGACAAGGGAAATCGGGGACCCCACAGGCCTCCAAACGTTCTTAGACCCCCGAACCCGACGGGAAACGAGGTTCACTCGACCAGGGGCCTCCAAACGGAGGCCGCCCTCCGCCCCGGGTGCTGGCGTTTCCTCTGCTCGGACCCCCGGGCCCTGCTGGAATCTTCTAGAAGCCCCAGGAGGAGGTTGGCCGCACCGCAGCCTCCTAGAGGCCCACACGGGCCTCCCAGCCTCCTCTTGCCCGGATGTTGACGTTTCTGGGGTGTCAGTCCTTCCTCCTCCTCTTCCTCGTCCTCCACTTCCCGGTTCCTTTGGGCCTCAGGATCCGCCAGGCGTCTCCCAGGGTGCTGCCTCCGGTCCCGGCCTCCGGCCTCCGCCCACGAGGCCTCGTCCTCCCGCCGGCCGGGGTGCTGGCGTTTGTGGGGGCCCCCCCCTGCGCCCCCTTCCTCCTCCTCTTCCTCGACTTCCCCCTCTTCCGAGTCCGGCTCCCGTTTTCCCGGATGCTGGCGCTTGGAGAGGCCGGTGGGGTGGAGGCCCTGGAACTCTAGGGAAAGAAGGAGGCCAGTGAGGACAGGAGGCCGAGGCCGGCCTGAGCAAGAGCGAGACCCCGTCTCTACTAAAAAAAAAAATATAGAAAGAAATGAGCTGGACAACTAAAAATATATAGAAAAAAATGAGCTGGGCGTGGTGGCGCATGCCTGTAGTCCCAGCTACCCGGGAGGAGGCTGAGGAGGGAGGATCGTTCAAGGTCAGGAGTTGGAGGCCAGCCTGAGCAAGAGCGAGACCCCCGTTGCTACTAAAAAATTACAAAGAAATTAATCTGCCAAGTAAAAATATATAAAAAATAGGAGCCGGGCGTGGAGGCGCATGCCTGTCGTCCCAGCTACCCGGGAGGAGGCCGAGGCGGGAGGATCGTTTCAGGTCAGGAGTTGGAGGCCAGCCTGAGCAAGAGCGAGACCCCGTCTCTGCTAAAAAATAGAAAGAAATGACAACTAAAAATATATACAGAAGAAATAAGCCGGGCGTGGAGGCCCATGCCTGTAGTCCCAGCTACTTGGGAGGAGGCTGAGGAGGGAGGATCGTGCTCGAGGTCAGGAGTTGGAGGCCAGCCTGAGCAAAAGCGAGACCCCGTCTCTACTAAAAAAAAAAAAAAATAGAAATAAATGAGCTGGACAACTCAAAATATATTTTAAAAAATGAGCCGGGCATGGAGGCGCATGCCTGTAGTCCCAGCTACTCGGGAGGGAGGCCTAGGCGGGAGGCTCGGTGGAGGCCAGGACTCGGAGGCTGCTGTGAGCGAGGCCGACGCCCCGGCGCTCACTGCAGCCTGGGCGATGGAGCGAGACCGTCCATCAGACAATGGCCAGCCGCCTCTGGAGTCCGGTGGCCGATGAGGGTTTTTCCCCCGGAACTTCTCAAAAGAGGCGCGAAGGCTGGGCCTCCCTGCCTCCCTTTCGGCCTCAAGGTTCCTCCCAGCTGGGACAGGCAGCCCGAAAAGCCCAGACCGGCGTCGCCCTTGTCACTCACCGGTCGAGGGCTCGCTCTGGTGGCCTTCGAGCCTCTGGAGGTCACCTTGTAGCCGGTCGAGGCTGTCCCCGAGGAGGAGGAGGCTCTGGGCCTCCACCAAGAGGTTGTCCAGGTCTTGGTGCCTCTGCTCGGCCGCCCGGCCCCCGGGGACCCCGCCGGTGAGGGTCAAGGTCAAAGCCACCGCGGCCGCCACCAGCAGCCAGGGGCGGGACATCCTGGTGGCCTCGGTTGCCCTCTAGGGATTAGGTGACAGAGAGAGACACACAGCGACAGAAAGTGAGGCCCGGCCCATGCACCTTTCACCTTTGACCCCGCCCCTGTCGCTGCCTGTCCTGGACTTGGGGACACCAAGCAGTGCGGAGGGGTGTGGGGGGGGGTCCCCAATCTCTCCGCCCACACTTGTCACCTTGCACCCAGGGCTGCGTGCCACAAGGCCGCAGAGGGTGGTGTGACCCCTTGGCCACCAGCCCCTGCCCGGGGCTCTGAGGGTCCCCAGAGCTTGGGGTGGCAGGGGAGGGTCCCCCCAAAAGTCTCCCCACCCCCAACGATTGCACCCGAATTGCAACGCAAAGCGTTTAATTGCAACGCTACGGTGGTGGCACCTTGGTGGCACCCGTCTGCAAGTTGCAATTGCAAAGTCCCCAAGTCCGGGTGGCATTTTGCAAACTCTGAGGTCCCCTGTCTGCAGGTGCAATGCAAGTCCCCAAGTCTGAGTGGCATTTTGCAAACTCTGAGGTTCTGTCTGCAGGGTGCAATGCAAGTCCCCAAGTCTGAGTGGCATTTTGCAAACCCTGAGGTCCCCTGTTTGCAGGGTGCAATGCAATGTCCCCAAGTCCGAGTGGCATTTTGCAAACCCTGAGGTCCCCTGTTTGCAGGGTGCAATGCAATGTCCCCAAGCCCGGGTGGCATTTTGCAAACCCCGAGGTTCTGTTTGCAGGGTGCAATGCAATGTCCCCAAGCCCGGGTGGCATTTTGCAAACCCTGAGGTTCTGTTTGCAGGGTGCAATGCAATGTCCCCAAGCCCGGGTGGCATTTTGCAAACTCTGAGGTCCCCTGTCTGCAGGTTGCAATGCAAGTCCCCAAGCCTGAGTGGCATTTTGCAAATCCTGAGGTCCCCTGTCTGCAGGGTGCAATGCAATGTCCCCAAGTCCGGGTGGCATTTTGCAAACTCTGAGGTCCCCTGTCTGCAGGGTGCAATGCAAGTCCCCAAGCCCAGGTGGCATTTTGCAAACTCTGAGGTTCTGTCTGCAGGTGCAATGCAATGTCCCCAAACCTGAGTGGCATTTTGCAAACCCTGAGGTCCCCGGTCTGCAGGGTGCAATGCAATGTCCCCAAGCCTGAGTGGCATTTTGCAAACCCTGAGGTCCCCTGTTTGCAGGGTGCAATGCAATGTCCCCAAGTCCGAGTGGCATTTTGCAAACCCTGAGGTCCCCTGCCCTGTTTCGCAGGTGCAATGCATGTCCCGCAAGTGCCGAGTGCATTTTGCAAAACCTGAGTTCTCCTGGTCCAGGGTGGAATGCAAGTGTCCCCAAACCCGGGTGCATTTTGCAAACCCTGGAGGTTCCCGTTTGCAGGGTGCAAGCAATGTCCCGAAAGTCGGTGCATTTTGCAAACCTGAGTTCTGTTTGCAGGGTGCAGATGCAACTGTCCCAAGCTGGTGGCATTTTGCAAACCTGAGGTCCTGTCTTGCAGGCTTGCATGCACAGTCCCCAAGCCTGAGTGGCATTTTTGCAAATCCTGAGGTCCCCTGTCTGCAGGGTGCAATGCAATGTCCCCAAGTCCGAGTGGCATTTTGCAAACCCTGAGGTCCCCTGTCTGCAGGGTGGAATGCAATGTCCCCACGTCTGAGTGGCATTTTGCAAACCCTGAGGTTCTGTCTGCAGGGTGCAATGCAATGTCCCCAAGCCTGAGTGGCATTTTGCAAACTCTGAGGTCCCCTGTCTGCAGGCTGCAATGCAAGTCTCCAAGCCTGAGTGGCATTTTGCAAACCGTGAGGTTCTGTTTGCAGGGTGCAATGCAAGTCCCCAAGCCTGAGTGGCATTTTGCAAACTCTGAGGTCAATGCAAGTCCCCAAGCCTGAGTGGCATTTTGCAAACCCTGAGGTCCCTGTTGCAGGGTGCAATGCAAGTCCCCAAAGTCTGATGGCATTTTGCAAACCCCTGAGGTTCCCTGTTTGCAGGGTGCAATGCAATGTCCCAAGCCTGAGTGGCATTTTGCAAACCGTGAGGTTCTGTCTGCAGGCTGCAATGCAAAGTCCCCAAGCCTGAGTGGCATTTTGCAAACTCTGATAAATGCAAGTCTCAAGCCTGATGACATTTGGCAAACTCTTGAGGTTTGTTTGCAGGCTGCAATGCAAAGTCCCAAGCCCTGAGTGGCATTTTGCAAACTCTGAGGTCAATGCAAGTCCTCAAGTCTGAGTGGCATTTTGCAAACCCTGAGATTCTGTCTGGAGGGTGCAATGCAATGTCCCAAGTCTGAGTGGCATTTTTGCAAACTGTGAGGTCCCCTGTCTGCAGGCTGCAATGCAAGTGCCAAGTCCGAGTGGCATTTTG